ACATTCAATTTAATATCTAGTTATATGCTCAATAGTAGATTCTCCAATATCCCTTGAAAATTTTGGTATTTCCTATCTTCTAGGTAGTTCAACCTCAAGAACAAAGTCAAGAAATGACGAAATAAAATATGGTTAGCTATTTAATCTCATTCCCAAATCCGGTTGATTTCATTGTTTTATCATTTGCTTATAGGCATTCTGTTGACAATTTCTATTATTTTGATTATTTCTAGTATATTGTCCCACATTTGTACAATACAATCTACATCTTGACCTCTATTGACTATTCTCACATTTCTCAATTGATTATGATTTCCTTGCATATTTTGATTGTTATTGTTCTGTCCTAGAGGTTCGTCTTGATTGTTTCCTATCTGTAAACTATAGTTCTCTAAATTGTTCCTCCTAGAAACGAGTGCATCTCCTATCCTCGTCATTAGTTCGACCAACCTTTGAAAACTATCAACTGTAGTATATACTAGTAGATTTAAGATTGTGGTCATTTACCGAGATAATAAGTTAACTATCTCATGATTATTATCATCCATTTGTTGTCTTATAACCTCTAATGTAAATGTACTACTCAATATTCCAGTATTTATATTATCAATGTCATGTTGGTTCCTGTTGCATTCCCTATCACTTCCCAATCTAAGTTGATTCTGACTCTGATCATTCATTCTACTAGTATTTAGGGTTGGTTTCCACGATGACATTCTCATTGATATTGTTCTATTATTGGTATTCTATGACTATTTCTCTAAACCGATGAACTTCCATTAGTATTATGCCCCCCAACATAACAGGTTTGTTTGTTGTCACGTGTAGTATGGCATAAGCACTACTATGGAATTACTAACTATATATATTACCTACTCCGACTACCATTATTCTAATAATCAATATTACCCTAACATTTCCTTTTTCCTTGTTATATTATGCCCAATACCAATATTCTAGCCCTCAATGGTACTTTGTGGCACCACACTAGATGTTAATGTAGAACTAGGTGCAAAAGTCGTTATACTTTGATTTCTCATGACTACTCTACCACTTCGTAATCTCATATACTACTACCTTCTAAAAACTAGATAATATATAATAATATTGTCCCACCAGACGTGCTAATTTGTTTATAGTGTAAATGATTTATTGTTCGATTAAATATTTATATCCAAGAACGCGGTGAATTATTTAAACACCATGTGGATCCTTTTATTGTTTTAACAAATACAAACACTTTTCAATTTTTTAATAGTAGAGAATTTACATAAAACCAACATCAATCATTCAATAACTAAAATAAGATATATTTCAATCAATGATCGTTTGCATCTAAGTTGGATTTTCAATATAATTTGTAACATTTAAAATAAATTACAAGAATAATAAAAATATAATGAAAGTAAATTGTTGAAAAATAAATGTGCGAAAAAAAGATAAATGCGTGAAAAAAGTAAATTGCATAAAAGTAAATATAATTCATTAATAAACATAAAACATAAATTGATAAAAAATAATAATAAAAATGACGATCCAAATTGTAAAGAACTTAATTAAAAATATTTGTCCCTTGTTCAAAGCATGATTCAAAATACAAATTTTTTTCGTAAATTTGACAATCACCTCTTTTATATTTATTTAACTTTATTTATATTTTCTTTGTGTAACCGCTAAGACACTTTTAAATATATAAAAAAAAATAAGGTGAAATCAAAATAAAATACAATAGATGAAAAATAAAATTCATAATCGATTACTTTCCTATAATCGTTATTTGATTCTCTCGAGCTATTTTGTTGCTATATAATATCCACAAACGCAAATATCACAAAACATGACTATAATTGCTTTCATATATCTCTTGATTATATAACAAGATCATAACCGTTTCTACATATCTCTTCATTAGATAACTTCTTATTAATATCTTATTTTCGTCCACTTAAAATCATGGACTTAATATTCTTTGGTTCTCAATACTCGGTTGCCCATACCATACTTTTGATTGACTTTCTGTTCATTCAACTCAACTTTTATTTTCGTCAATACACACTTTCAAACATTTCCTAATAATAAGTATTTAAATTTATCTAAAACCTTCCCTTCACATTTTCCAACTCAATCATTAGATCAACCTTTCTACATTTGATTGATTTTTCAATCTCAATATTCAACTCTTAAAAACTTTTGATTATTTTTTTTCACTCTCATTGTCTCTTTTAATACCTCCTATATTTCTTAATTTATTTCCTTCCATATATTTGCAAAAATATGTAAGTAACAATATATTACTCAATTTATTTTGTCCTGTTCAAAGTGAAACTGCAGGTTAGACTTGAACTAATTGAAACCACGAAAAGACTATAAAGTTTCACCGACAAGGCCGTAATTGCACTAATGCAGAGCTTTTTGTGTAAGTTGATGTGGCAGGTGACGTTAGTAGAATGACCTCATCAGAGGTATTGAAATCCAGACCACATGCAGCAAAGACAACAAAAATATGGAGCGATCTTTTCGTTACTGAAGGCAAGCTACCTCAATCAAACATCGCTATTATATTTACGTACAAACCAATCCTGTGAATCCGGACCACATAACTAAGAAAAGCACGTACAAACAATAATGATACAGCAAATGGCTGTGTACCTTTGTGGTCGGAATTTACTCAATATGATTCCCACACTGTAGTGAGAGAGTCCAAGTAGATTGCAAGTTTGGATAAGCAAGTTAGAAATTGTAAAAATTCTGGTCTATATATATTATTGGCCATTGGGTAGTCTACTAGCATAGAATCCGACACATAGTGAAGATGTGAAGAATGAAGGAGTTGTGGCAGTGAAAGGTTTGCTACGCAGGAGAGATGACGCTGTCACTTGCGTCCATCCTGCTTCCTTGAGAAGGTACGACCAAAGCTTTTCAGCATCATACCTTCTGTGTAGGAAACCTTCCATTCCATATGCAAATTGAGAAAGTGCCATTTTATTTTAAGAGAAGCAAATATGGAAGATGAGGTAAGTAGTTTTTTTTTTTTTTTTTTTTTTTTATGAGAAATGCTAACAGCACGATCATAGACAACTCTACCATATATGGCACTGATTCTTTTGCAGGCATCTCATATTCATTCTGGAAAATAATATGTGCATCCTAAGGGACTGCTATGTATGTGCAATAATACATTAAGCCCTCCATGGTTCTCGATTGAAAGTACCTAACCTGATTTGAATTTTCCCTTTTGGTTTCATTTCAAAGTGCATAAATACGTGTCTTCTTGGTAGTCTGATTGGTCTAGAATGAATCTATTTCAGCTTTCTTATGGAAACAGTTTGAGATTTTGAATTTATCAGGCCAATAGATTTCTTTTGTGGGGCTGATGCTAATCATGCGATCTGATTTCTTAAGTTCAAGGGCCCCAATGTCTTCTGTTGTACATACAATATCATATTTTAAAGCACGAGTTCTGTAAAAGTAATCATAGTTAAAGGGTTTCCTGAATTGTGTTTATGTATTTATTTTTACTGGATAAATAAATTTCTGGTTCTAGTACTTGAGATATTGCATCTGTACGCGAATATCTTGAATTGTAATTGTTATTGTCAAAGGCCATGGAATGAAAAGAACATGAAGAAATTTTGAAGGCTCAAACACTATTTGACCAACTAATAGGCATAAGAACTTGCAGAAACAATATTAATCTTCGAAGGTTCAATCTAACAAGTGATTCGCTTATCATACATGTCGTCAGTCACCACACATAACTTTTGCTGGATCCAGGAATTCCTTATCCTTCCATAGCTTATGTCACACTTTTCTATAATTCAGTTGGTGTCTACATATAGTTTGCATGTCGGAGTTTTCGATCTTCTGCTAGCAGACGCCAGTGCCAATTTTTGAACTCCCCATTTTCCAACATAGGACCTTGAAACTTTTCGGCAGCCTCCCTTTTATTTACTTAAATTAGTGTGTTAAATCCAAAACAGCACCCATAATGACTTTGCTCCATATTAAAAATCCATCCCTCTGCTCAGCAAAAGAGTCCTTGAACATTAAAATCGACCAGATGGAGGATAAACCTCCCCTGTTCTTGAAGGAAATGATAACAACTTACGTTAAGGGTTATACTCGTGCAAAATCCATTGAATTATTCTGTACCACCGATACAACTGCATGCACTGTCTATCAATCAACACATTTCCAACATTCTTTTATTTGCCATAAGAAGGTCAGCGAAAGTTAGTAGGATGGTATAATCCCGCAAAAATAAATGAGCATATCATTCAAACGATCGACTGATATATAAACAAATCCTGAACCTGACGTATGATTCCTGATTCAAGATCACCGATCATTGTATTGAATGGAGTTTTTAACATTGATAAGCCAGTATCAGTTTTTTAGAGTATAAATAAACCTAAAAATGGAAATTGTGGAGAATAAAAAGAAAGAAATTGTGCACGAATAGTTCTTAATTCACGGCTGCTAGGTGAAACAAACAAATACTGATCAGAACAGAGAAGAATGAATGTCTCAGCCTGAACCTGAAGGTGATTTCTAATCTGGGATGAGCACCACCTACAGTAAAGAGCTAGTTGCGATCCAGATGATGACTACACCTGAAGAAACTATAATGAATCAATTGGCAGACCATATACAAATATATGAAAAATTGAGGGAAGAATTATAATTTAGAATACGGGAAAATATATTTCTAATTTTAAGAAGATTACCAAAAGAATGGTGAAATAGTTCACACGTTGACTTAATTAATCATCCTTCCAGTTAATTCATCCTAAACCGAAAACTAGTTCACTAAAATATCAGAAGTGGCATCTGTCCCAAAAATGAGTATTAGAAGCTAAACGCAAAGAAAGATGGCTACCAAACACATTGATTTGACATTCTCCTCCCCTAGGCACTATTATTATACAACTACATAGAGAGAATAGAATAATATAGGCACAGGGGATGGCTGTCTTGGTAGTAGCATACCTCAAAAGTTGTTATAATTCTTTATCGCTGTCAAGTGCTTTAGCAGCTGCCTTTTCAGCTTCTTCCAAAACAAAGATTTTCATTGATTCAACATTCCTGGAACCTGACCAATTGCGATGCAATAAATAAGATTAGATCTATGAGCTACCACTTCTCGACATAGTTTTGGTTGGGAAAAGGGTGGCAGCTAAGCTAATACAAGATTCATGCAAATGAACCATATAAAGCTCAAAAATTAGGCCCTAAAAGAATTTATGATAAAAAAGACCACAATTTACATATCAACGAAAATATTTCTTCCTTCAGGGTTGATTAAAAAAATTAAAAATAAATCACAAAAAGCTTAAATTCCCTTAATTTGCAGAAGGCTATCTCTTCAAGTACCAAATAACAATTACATGTGATGGGAAAATTTTACGATAAAAAAGCTTTGAATCACTGAACTTAGTGATAGGATAATTGGATACACATGTTACGAAGATACATGATACCCTACGTTATTACCACAGAGGCATAAACCACAATCTTTGATAACTAGCAAATTCATTTGGCCATAATCATTTATTAACACAAGTGAAAGGTGCCACCTTGAGCATTCATTCGTGGGCAGAAAGTATGTGTGCAGGTTAGAGGTTAGAGCCAACAGATTGGCTTAACTTTCACATTCAGAGACGTGCACAGAAAGATTGATTGTATAGAGCAATGACTGAGTTGATCCCTTGTTTGATTTTCCAAACTTGACAAGTAAGAACCGCAAAAGAATTCCAATATTTTTATCCTAATCCAGGGCAAGTTTATACACAAGAAAACAAGGGATATAGCAAACACAAAACATCAACAAGTATTAAATTATAATTGGTTATTAATGGTCATTAAAAGTAAAAGGCTAAGCTTCAGCACATGAATTAAGTTGAAGAACAAAGGGGAACGAAGCAGAATCCATGAAGTTCATCATTTGGCAAGGGAGAAAAAATTCGAATTACCTTGGTATCTAGCTACTTCTTCACCATCGTAGAAAACCTTGAAGGTAGGATATGAATGAATATCAACTTTGGAACAGACTGTTTTCTCCAGGCCGCAATCGACTTCTCCAACCTCTATTTCATCTTCTCCTTCCATTGCCTTCCCCAAATCATCCCACAACGAGCCCAGGTTTTTACTGGCAACAATTATCATAACTTGAAAAGTTAGAAAACATCAACAATATCAGCAGGTTCAGCAGCATCAAGAGTAGGCTATTGCAGTATACAAAAGAATTAATCACCAATGCTTGCACCAGGGGACGCAAAATTTCACAAACCACGCAGTGTCCTTCTCCTTGATCTAGACCAAAAAAAAAAGTAATTGAGAAATGAGATCGTATACATTTCTACATCAGTGTTGTTGTTTTGCACGCAAACGAACCCCTAATTAAACAACTTGAACTAGCTTCCATAGAAGATTACGTGATCTTAAACATTTAAAGCAGAAATATAAATTAGAAACCCTGGATAGTGCATAATTTTGGAATTGGATAGTTGAGTAAAAACAATTGGGGCGTACCTTATCATTAAAGGTATCAGAGGTTAAGGTTATAACCTCGGATTGAGTACGAATAAAGAAGGAGAGAAAAATGAGGAAGGTTATTGCAGTGTAAGAATTAAAGCGAGTGTGAGAGCGAGTGAGAGTTCTCATGGCCATGTTCGTGGTGTCTGATCAACCCTACCCGTTCCTTCCTTCCGTCGCTTCTATCTTCTCCGCCGCGTCCAAATGTTTCTCTGCAGATCTTTCAGCCACGTGCTACGCGCGTGATTCATATATCTTCTTCGTTGTTTAATTTATTTTGAATCAAAATTAATAATCACATAAATAAATTTATTTAAAGAAATATTACATAAACTAATTTAAAAAAATATATTTATGTGACTCTATATATCAATTTTTTCTTCATAATTTCAGTATTTCAATGACATCTCGGTGATATTAAGTTTATATAATAGATCTGATTATTGATAGTTAAAAGTAATCTTTAGAGTTTAATTTAATTATCAATACTAATTTTATACTCTTAATTAAATAAATATTATTTTACACATTATAATTTAATTACATTCTTTACTTTAAAAGTACTTTTCCTCATTTGGTTGGCTATCCTTTTTAATTGGCATCATATTCAATACTATTTGAGATGGCTTTTGTTTTATATTTTTTACTTCACCAATTTTTTTTATTACTTTATTCTGATTAAAAAGTGCTTTTAACTTATTTCAAACTAATTATATCTAATAAGAAAAATTCAATTGTATTCAAATATTTTTAATCATGCTTCTCAACTAAATTTTAATGTACAAAACAAGTGAATTGTACGGTTTAATAATTAGATATTCTAAGCTGATAAATAGTAAAAATGATATGTTTCCATTTAACATGTTTGAAATTTTATTCGTTACAATTTTATTTGTTTGAAGTTTTATCCGTTATAATTTGGTTGCAATTTTATTTATTTGAAGGATATTAAAAACTAGAATATACATATATTATTTTTAATCTCGAGTGATATAGAACTCGTGTACTAAAATATAACATCAATCAAAGATTAATATATATATATATATATATATATATATATATATATATATATATATATATATATATATATAAAGAGTGAAATGTATTCGTGAAACTAAATAATAATAAATATTTTTTTTATATAATAAACTTGAAAATTAAAAAAATATATAAAACTTTTATTATTGGATATAATATACTTTAAAAAAAATAGTAAAACCAAAAAAATGTATTTATAACGTTTATAATTATATACGTGTGTATAAAAGAACACCCCGTACCGTAGGAAACGTTATTCCTTTAAATAATTTTAATATCTAAAATGGATTTTTCATTAAATGGTTAAACATATACCATATTTACCTAAAATTTATTTTAATAAAAAAAAGTATAAATACACACCATAAAGAAGAATGGAACATTTGGTGAAATATTTAAATCACGAGTCTTTTTTATTTGATAGATTACATTTTAGGTTGAACTATCTTCACGTTCAAGTTTAATTAGTATTATTTTGGGAAATTGGACAAAAATATATATAAAGAAGAGGTGTGTCTCTATCCCATTCTTTTTATCTTTTTTAAATTAAATATTATTTTTACTCTCTCTTTTTTCTTTTTATAGAATAATGTACAGATTTAGTATGCAACAAACATTTTTTTTTTCAAATTATTATGAAAAAACAAGAGAAAATAAATTGTTATAACAAATATACAATACAAACAAAAAAAAGTTATTGTCTAAACAAAAACCAAAAAAGATTTCAACTAAACAACAAAAGGAAAACAGAACACAAAACACCGTAAAAAAAAAAGAAGCCGAATTAAGGTTCCACCTTATTCTCACTAACACTAGCAAAATGTGCCTCTAATTAGATCACTTGGCAAAAATCAAAAGCCCATAACCATTTCCTTCCTTGTAAGCTTTGGACTTGCATCCACCACCACCTGCACCTCCTCAAGATGGTGTGCAGGTGCAGCCAATGTAGTTGGCAGAATCACAGCTTCGTGTTGTGCCATAGCCATGCGCCTCATGGTCTCTTCACTCACCCCAAATGCAGTTGCAAGCTCGGGCCCTACCATGGCCCTCATGAGTGACGTAGCACCTACCAGAAATTGTGGCTTGTTCTTATGAGCCGAGGTGGTGAAGCCAAAGAGCTCTAGTGGTTCACCCCTTGATGCTATTTGGCAGACGGCGAAGAACCTTGGAATGAAGAACACGTCCCCTTCTTTGATGTGAGTGTACATTCCATTGGTTCCGTTTGGAAACACTATTTGGATCCTACCTGAACCTTTTAGCACTATGCCATATTCTGTTGCCCTTGGATTCAAATGGGGTGCCATCATTGATCCCTGCCATGTAGTCGATAATGTACAAAAACATTTACTATAGCTTTGCAACTGAACTTCAACGTAGTTTCTTATTATTTTCTAAATATGCTATGCAACATATTTTGGAATGATAACAAATGGAAATATTGAAAGAGTTTGTTTGCATACAGCTGAGAGATTGATATGATAAATGCCAACGCCAGATCTTCTGAGTGGATGATACCGAGAGCCATCAATAGCAACGCTCCAACCATAATTGTTTTTGAAATCTGGTTTTCTGTCATAGAGGTTGTAAGAGCGAGGAGGTTTTTTAGTAATCTTCTCCCTCGTTTCCTTGATCTCTTCCCCAAATACAGATTTCAAGAGCTTCCTCCATGACCAACTTGTTTGTTGCTCTTCTTCATCACCAGATTCCTCCTCTTCCTTCTCCACTTCTTCATTTTCTCGTTGTTGTTGCACCATTTCCCTCAGGTGATCCAGTTTGTCTTCCTCCTTAAGTTGAAGGAACTTGGTCCATATGCTTGTTGTATGTGAATCTCCCACATGCACAATCGGCCCCCCGTGTTGCATAGCGAAGAATTTTCGCAACTCTTCTCCTGATGCCTGCAGGGTGAGTTTATAGACCCTTGTTAGTGTTGTGTGTGCATGGTTCTCCAAGATGTTATGTAACTAAGAAAGTTCTTAACTTACGTTGAAAGCAGTTTCAAGGATTTCAGGCTCAAATCCAGAAAGTACTGAGGCTGGATGAGTTCCTCCTCCAATATAGAAGGACTGCATGCAACACATGCACATTGTGTCAGACCTAGGACAATTACTATTTAGGAAGGAAGATTCATAGGGTCAGGTGAGTTTCATTATTTGTTTTATTTTTTGCAAGAGAGTTTTTCATTATTATGGATTCATGTACCTGGAAAACATCATCTCCCAAGCTCTCAGAGGGTTCAATGCTGCAGATAATGTGAAGCTTTTGACCACCTTCTACGTTAACAAGATAGAATGCAGAACCAGCAGGAATTCGATATACATCTCCCATCTTCAAACGCCTTTGCGCCAGCTTGTCTTTGTGTATGAATTCCAACTTTGCTTCCCCTGAAATCAATGTCCAACTCAACTTCCAAAATCTCAAATTTCCAACATAATGATAGAAGCATGTTATAAAAAGATGGCACATACCACATGAATTATATTGTTAGATGCATTATTTTCTTGCTTAAGAAAAGACCTATAGCATGTTACTCCTTAGAGCATTTCTAACGAAGATCTTAAACTTAAGATAGTCAATTGTTGCTTAAGAGTTGTGAAACAAAGAAAGACTTATTTTAGGTTCTCAAGGATTATCGAATGAAGATAATATACTCGTTAAAATTCTTGTATTTTATTTTTGACATTGTAGGACTTAAGAAAACGAGTAAAACAACTTCACAATGATTACATAATCTGAGATGCTCTTAACTTCAAGTTTCATGCAGATTAGATCATATATCTACTTACATATATGCATGCATGCCTATATGTAATGATACCTGAACGCACGAATATGATCAAAGTGGAATCAATGTACTGAGGAATGAAGAGGGACCTTGGTTCCATGTTAATGAAACCAATGTGCAAGCGCCTCTCAGAAACTCTGCCACCATTACTTTTGAACACTCGCATCTCCCCAGCGTTGGTTTTGGCCACGAGCTTGTATTCCTGCATCAAGAACAACTTGTCGGGCCTTGGAGAACCCTCGTCTCTCTTTCGGACCTCTGTCCTCCAGAACCGCCCCATTGCTACTGTCACGCCATGACAAAGAACAAACAATAAGATCAAAAGGGTCAAGTTGCTTCGCATTGTTTCTCACTGTAATAATCAACTTCAGTGGTCTTGGATGCTTTACGATTGCTTGAGGAAGAGAATATATAAAGAGGAAGACGCACCAGACACGTGTCGGCCATGTAGGATCTCAAGGAATTTTCTGACCATGCGTGAGGTACATAGAGTAGACAAATTTGATTCATTGAGAAAACATTCATCAAGACAGAGTCTATTTTTGAAAATCTCTGCTTAACATGCCTTTACTCGACTTTACTCCAAACAAAAATTAGATTAAAAAATCCATTGATAACCTAAAATATGAAAATATTAGAATGGTTCTCAAGTTACATAAAACAATGACAAATGATAAAATTCTTTTATTAATATTCACTTTTTTATACAACAACTACTCAACCCTCTCATTTCTATTTTTTTTAATTATAAAACAAGTTCATTGTCTTTTAAGTTAAATTAAAAATATTGAAGTAATTATTAATATTATTATTATTATATGATATTATTAAAATTAGAACATTGTATTTTTAATTACATATGCAAAACGAAACAACACACTCAAATCCATTTAAAATCAGTGATTCGCAAGTGTACATAGGTTAGGTCTCAATTTTTGTTTTCAACATCACTTTTTTTTAATCTAATGGGGATGATTAGTCCAGTGTAAAAGCCCCTGATAAAGTTTTTATTGAAAATAAATAAAAAATAAGAAGCTAAATTAAATTGAATTTATTTTATAAATTAAAATCAGTATATGTATTTCAGTTTTAGGATCTTCATATTAGATCATTTTTACAATAAAAAAAATATGAATTTAGTTGGATGTGTTCAAGAAATCAATTCATTTTGCTTTTCCCTCTTCATATATCTATAGGAAAAAAATATTTAAATAAAAATATTCTCTATTTTTTTTTACTTAACATTTATTTATTGGGTAAAATTTATTAGAAACTAACAATTAGTCATTCTGTTTCTAAATTAGGATAGTTAATCATTGACCAATGAGACTCTGATTTTAATAAATTATACTCAATTAGGAAGAGACTATTAAGAAAAATAACTACCCAAGTCAATTGTTGTTCATAATACAAAAAAAATGAGCAGGTCAAAGGTTAATGTCTCGCGAACATTAATTTTAATAGAAATTGTTACATTGAATCCATTGATTTCACACTTCATAAAATATAAACAGCGTAAAAGCTCAAAATCCATAATATATTAATTGGGTTTCCACGATAATAAATAACAAATATAACTCGAAAGTCAACAGAAAACAAAAAATAAAATTCTATTTCCAAGTCATATATATAAATTTTCACTAGAGAAAAACAAAACATGAGGCCCATAGTGTAACGACCCTAGAAATCGCTACTATAATGATGTCTTCACAAAGTAGTAAACAAGTAAATAACAACATATATTTTACATTAAATTACTGTAATTGTAACATAGATTAAAATTTCGGTTCACTAACGGAACTTCAAAATATAGTAACGTAATTTATTTATATATTATACATGTAAAAGTAGCTCCCTCGAAGCTATCCCACTGAACTATCCCTGTTGTCCAGTAGTCACATCACCATCTCTCAACTCCTTATCTGCTCCCACATAAAAGTGATCATCACAGTCTCATCCACATGAAAAAATAGGGGTAAGTATTAAATCATTCGATATAATCAAACAGATATAGAAGTAATAATTATATAATATGATCAATTACGAAATTATCAACACACTAAGACACCTTCTGGAAGTATACTCTAACTATGCCGGAACTCAGAGGCTATCATTTGTGGGTACATTGTGATTGGTACCCGCAGTACCATTCTGACCACCCTCCACACAGAGTAGGATTACTGACGCCCTTCATCACTCATACTGGAGTACCCCTCCGAGTACGCCACCAGTCATCCCCCAATCGACTTCTCACCACCTGATCTCGTAATCTACCTGACCCGACCAATCAGTGAAGTCTGAGACCTCATTCAGAATCCTTCGACATAGTTATTACACTAATGTACTTTGTACCACCCCGGGTACCATTCAAACATAACAGAAATTATTCACATTTGTCGGATTCTGGACCACCTGTCCTCACGACTCATTCGGGTCAATAAAAATAAGATTTGACTGATTCTGGCACTAACCCTCCGGCTCAGTCTAGCCAATACATAACGTCTCATGACTGATTTTGGGCATCAGCCCTCAGGCTCAGTCTGACCCACACACGTCACAACACACTACTTTCATTCTCTCTCTCTCTCTTTATATATATATTTTTCTAAAATCATTTCCGAAATCCCTAAATTACTATTTTGCCCTTAATCTTTTCTTAAAATTCCATGTATGTCCCTAAATGACTATTTTACCCTTGGACATTTTTGAAAATTCCTTCCATGTCCTGAAAATGACTATTTTACCCTTGAACAATTTTGAAAATTCCATTTATGTCCCTAGGATGTAAAATGACTATTTTTCCCTTGAACATTTTCAAAAATTACATTTATGTCCCTAGGATGAAAAATGACTATTTTACCCTTGATCTTTTTAAAAAATCCCCACCATATCCCTTTCTTCTTCCTTCGCCCCAGTAATAGTATTAAAATTTGCAAATTTTGGCAGATTTCAAATTACTCAATTTTAGACAACCAAACTAGTCCCAAATCGAAATTAAACATGAATTATGTCTAATTTAAGTTGAAAACAATAATTTTACCAAATAATTCATCCTTAATTTCAAGAATTTCATCAATATTTAAAATTTTGCAAAATATGAATAGTAATCACCTCCACTACGCCATTTTCAAAATCTAGGTTTCAAATTTCTCAGTTTCAATCACCCAAATTAGTTCCAAATCAAAATTAAACCATGAACATGTTCAATTTAAGTTAAAAACAACAATTTTATTATATAATTCATCCTTAATTTCAAGAATTTCAAAAAAAAAATCAAACGGTGAACAGTTCATCAGAATCAGAAATTCTTCAAAATCAGACATTCAAATAATTCATATCTCTACTCCTATTCCTTATTCACATGGTATTCACAGAGTACCCAACAATTCAATTTCATATATTGAATGAATTAAACTTCCCCTTACTTGGTATGGTATTTCTACCGAAGTTTTCCCACTTAATTCTAGCTCTCTCCCGTTTCACCAGATCCTGTACGAGTAGAGTCTCGTTGCTTGAAATTTAGACAATAGAAGAAGAAGAATGAGGAACATGTGATATGGGAGGAAAAATTTCCCGCAGAAACCATTCCTCCCCCCTTCGAACATAGAAAAGAAAAAATTTTATTGTGCATGAGAAAAACTTCGTTACGAAGTTTTCTTGCACAGTAAAAAGCATACGTCACAATCTCCCTTCCACAAAAATTTTCGTTCTCGAAAATGAACTTACTTGGAAATACATATGGATAGGACTCTCGTATATGATCCTCCATCTCCCAAGTGAAGTCTCCGGATTTATGATCCCATACTACCTTCACCATTGAGATGGTTCTACCTCTAAGTCGCTTCAGCTGAGAATCCTCTATCCTCACTGGTCTCACATCCACGGAGAGATCGTCTCTAATATGCACATCGTCTGACTGCAAGACATGACTGGGGTCATGCACATATTTCCTCAATTGAGATACATGAAATACATTATGCAGATTTGCCAAATGAGGTGGCAACGCTAACTAATATGCCACTGGACCTACCTTCTTCAAAATCTGATATGGGCCAATAAACTTGGGAGTCAACTTCTTAGATTTAATTGCCCTTCCTACTCCAGTAGTAGGTCTGATTCTCAAAATACATGGTCTCCCCCCTCAAATTCCAAAGGCCTCCTCCTCTGGTCTGCATATGATTTTTTTTTACTCATAGCGACTCTTAGCTTCTCGTGTACCTCCCGGACCTTCTCTGTAGTCCACTGGAGTAGCTCAAGTCCGATCAACACTTTCTCCTCATCCTGATACCAACATAAAGGTGTTTGATACCTTCTCCCATAAAGAGCCTCATATGGTGTCATTCCGATACTGGCATGATAGCTGTTATTATACGTGAACTCTATTAATGGAAGGATATCATCCCAACTTCCTAGATTATCCAACACACAAGACCTCAACAAGTCTTCTAGTGACTGGATGGTCCTCTCTGACTATCCATCTGTCTGGGGGTGATAGGTTGAACTCAACCTAAGTCGGGTACCTAATGCCTCTTGTAAAGTCTTCCAGAATCTTGAAGTAAATCTAGGATCCCTATCTGAGATAATACTAGATGGTACCCCATGTAATCGAACAATCTCACGAATATATAGTTGTGCCAGCTTAGCCATAGATATCCTCAGATTTACAGGGAGAAAATGTGCACTCTTCGTCAATCTGTCCACTATCACCCAGATCGAATCGTGCCACCGAATTGTCCGTGGTAAATGGGTAACAAAATCCATGGTAATGCTATCCCACTTCCACTCAGGTATCTCCATTTACTGTAGCATTCCTCCCGGCCTCTGGTGTTTCACCTTTGCTTTCTGACAAGTCAAACAAGCAGCCACATATTCTGTAATATCTCTCCTCATACCAGACCACCAATAAACCTTCTTCAGATCCTGATACATCTTAGTCATACCAGGGTGTAGACTCAAGCGACTCCGATGACCTTCATCTAGTATTGCTCTCTTCAATTCCTGGTCAACAGGAATACAAATCCTTCCTCTGAATCTCAGAATATTATCCTCACCCATCTTGTAGTCAATGGTATGCTCGGATCCTAACTGATTCATAACACCTTTCAACATCATATCACCTGGTTGTCTATCTCTGATCATCTCGAGAAAATCATTAGTAATGGTAATGCTACCACAACTAATACTAGTATCACGAAACTCTACATCTAGATGTAGATCCCTGAACTGCTCTAGTAATCTTAATTCATCCATCATTATTGTTGACATCTGAACTATCTTCCTACTCAAGCCGTCAACCACCACATTCGCCTTTCCTGGATGATAAAGTAACTGAAAGTCATAATC